ACAGCCCAATCACAGCATAATAGGTCAAAATCAAATATAGTCATTTCCTAAGAACAGAAACACATTCTGAGAAATGTGTACCTAGGTGATTTTGTTGTGTAAATATCATAGAATATACATATATAAATTTAGATGGCTTAGCCTACTCCATACTTAAGCGCTACTGTCAACTCCACTGCTCCTTGACTACAAACCTGTACAACATGTTACTAGACCAAATACTGTAAGAAGCTGTAACATAGTGGTAATTATGTATGTCTAAATATAGAAATGCTATGGGAAAGGTAAAATAGACACACTTAGGATATAATAAAGAATTCAATTAATTAACCTTGGCTTAATAACTTTTTACTTTATAAGCTTTTTACAACTTTTTGGCTCATTGTAGTAAGACTTTGGTATAGTTAGGAGATGACGTGTCCACCAAAAAGGCTCGCGTGGTACAAGTTTTGTTCTTAGCTGGTGGTATGACTGAGAGGTGACTAGATCATAAGGGTCCTAATCTCATCAATGCATTAACCCATTGCTAAATTCAAAGATGAAGGGGCTATTAGGAGGTGAGGTCTAGCTAAAGAACTGGGTCACTGGAGGCCTGCCTTTGAAGGAAATACCCTGTCCCTATTCTCTCCTTAGCTATTTTTAGCTTTCTGACTGCTATGAATAGAGATTTTCTTCCACCATGTCCTTCTGCCATGCTTGTGCCTTTCTAGAGGCCTAAGAACAACTGAATTGGCTAATGATAAACAAAATTTGTGAAACTATGAATCAAAATAAATCTTCCTCCTTTTAGATTGTTTCTCTAAGGCATTTTGTCATAGCAATGAAATGTAGCTAACACACGTAGCTTAAAACACACATTTTATACGTCCACAAAATGATATGCCATTGTTTTTATATCATTATTCTGTAAGCTTCTCTATTTTTTATTTATATATTTTACGTCAAGCTTTTTAAATATACAAAAAATGAATACACAAACAGACATATTAACCTAACTCTACACACTGCCAGAATAATCAAGATTACTGTCCTATATTCTCTTTATTTCGTCGCACTCAACAGTCTTCAGGAACAATGTATTTAACACACATGGAGCTTTCATTCCTCATGATGACAATACTGCCTGTGGAATATCTCCCAAAGGACATGCCTAAGTTTCTTGATGGGGCAGTGATACTATTTCCAGAAACGTGCCCATGGTGGTTTACTTGGCTTGTTTCTGTTTCCATCAGACTTGTTTGTGAGCAGAAAATATACCATAAACATGTCTCTCTATTAACGAAAACCTTACAAAGCTGGAGTCTGTGTTTTCAGACTTTGTGTGGGGGAGAGATGTGTGTGGTATGTGTGTAAGAATATGTGGAGGCCAGAGGGTAATGTCAAGACATCTCCAACAATTAGTTCTCCACATTATTTTTTGAGACAGGATGTCTCACTGGCTGCTTGGCTAGACTGGCTGACCAGTGAGCTCCGGGATCCTCCTGTCTCCACACCTAGCACAAGGGTTACAAGGTACATACCATGACTATCAGCTTTATACATGGGTGTTAGAGATTGGAACTCACATCCTCATGCTTCTGCAGGAAGGACTTCACCCACTAAGCCATCTCCCTAGCCCCTATGTTTTCAAACTTGTTAAGAAGCTTGAGGTCTGCAAAGCTCCCTTCACTGGAATTTTCTAGAGAATTGTTCTCCTTTTTTTTCTGCCTGTACTTTTCTTTTCTCTTGCCCCTTATTCAGCCATGTGTTTACTAAGAAGTGGGAATTTTTCAGTTCCACTAACAATCTTAAGAGGCTACCACTGTCCCTTGTTGACCAAAACCTCATCATGAGGCATGTGACTATGCATAAGTCAAAGTAGAAGCACCTGGGTCAACATTTACTAACCATAACTGGAAAGTCACAAATGCTGTTACTCACATGTAACACTATTCAATATAACGTGACTAGCAGGGTGGACGTCTCATGCCAGATGCAGTATAGGAGATCACCTATACTTAATAACTACATAGAAAGGGTATGAGAATTTAAAAACTAAAATATCTAAAGCAATTCACTTGGTAGAATTTTTACATATTCAAATATAACTATATTAATAAATTCAACACATATTTTTCTTGTTACGTAATTTTGTATTGCTTGCCAAAAAAAGTTGCTAAGCACAAATTAACAGCAAATGTATCTGCTGAGAGTTCACTCCTTTCAAGAGAGTGAAGTCCACTGCTCTCTGACAAAATGAAATAAACTACTTAGCGACAAAACTTGTGATAAAGAAGTAAAATACACACACACACACAAAAAAACCCTTTGGAATAGTACCTGTTTTGTAAAAATCTGGCATAAAGACTGAATGTCATCTCCCTAAAGAACTAATTTAACACAATTTCAGGACAAATCATTCAGAAATGAAAACTGTCTCCTCAACCCAAGCTAAAGGCAACTTCATTGAAAGGAATAATTAAAATGAATCCTTCAGTATTGTAAGAGATAACAGTAGCTTGATAAAAATTAGGTCAAAAGAAGACAAGTAAGTTCAGGAGATGCCTAAAAGAAAGCTCCAGAGAGAAAACAGAGAAATTCTCCTATGTTATCATAAGTGTAATGAGTTTGGAATGTGAGAGGAAAATACAAATTGTTAGGAAAGGCTTTACAATCATTGTTATTTTCTCTACAACTCAGGGTTTGTTTTCTAAGCTCTGTAAGCTCGAAATTTCAATGATGAGCTTATCCAGTGATGATTAGTACCTGAGGAAAAATGGATTACCGTACAGATGAAATGGATTTGTACCTAACAGTCCATTTAACAATTTACAATAAAAAAGTAAATACCAAGCAGAGGGACGCTCACATTGACTAGTTCGTGAGTTTGTTATCCCCAAAGTAAGTCAAGTTGATAAATCAAATGAAGGTTCTACAGTTGCTTGCCAAGGTATGAAATCAGAGCTAGAAAACTGTCTCCCCATACCATCCAGGTATTGTTATGCACTGGTCTGGATGCCTACTCATCTTGCAAGCTTAGAGATTCATTATCTTCCCAATTGCCCCATTTTAACCACTGCAGGTTTCTGTTTCATCTTTTCTGATTATGTCAAGATTTATGCCAAAGTTCTCTGACTGCTCTAGCAGGTGCTAATCTCCCTTTTAATACCATAGGCTTCAGACTGTATTCAATCAATGAAGTATTTCTAACATAACAAAGACTATGAAACAGAATCTTTAATAAAAGTAAGTAGTCCTTTCATTAAGTTATGTATTATTTATGTCCTTATTAAGAGCACAGGACAAACTAAGTTCACTAACAGTGTAATGTACAATATACTGGTAAACTGTCATGTGCTGTTTTAATTCACTGAGAAGTTGGCTCTGAAAGTGGAGTTGCCAACCCTCTCCGTACTTCAGAGCTGAGCATATTTGTCAAGAAGTACCCTTCACGACCCCTTATTTGGGGATCTGATGGCCCCACTAAGTCTGTGACAGGGAGGGAAGAGAAGAACAAAACAACCCAAGAGTAAAAACATTACGCCTGTGAAAACAGCTAGAAGGTAAACTCTTTCTAACAGAGGCTGCTATTCTTTATCTCATGATATAAAGAGAAGCTGCAAGTTCAGTCATGAGAAGCTCATCCACAGAAAGAAAACCTAATCAGGAACTCCACCTGACTACCTCAATTTCCCTACTTGGCTTCTGTTGGATGTTATAAGAATGTGACTTGATGATGCTATCTCTAGCAATTGCTATTTGTTCCTTTACTTGGAAGCCTTATCTGACTGGATACTCTATTCTTCTATGACATTTTCAATCTCTCTTGATCAGGCCTCCAGTTAGCTGACTGAAGGGTTGCCCCAGTCAGTTTCTGTTCTATATTTGTTTTGTTTTGTTGTTATTGTTTTGAAACAGAATCTCCTTATAGCCCCAGCTGTTCTGCAATTCTCTATGGGCCAGGCTGGCACCAATCTCACAGAGATCTACCTGCCTCCCGAGTGTAGGTATTAATGTCATGTGTCACCATGACTGGTGCTTAAATTTCTTCAATGAAGAAACTGAAGCACCCAGAGATTCAGTAATTTGCTCAAGATCATCCATTAGGAAGTGACAGAGGCAGTGTGGTTACAGAGCTGAGACTCTTAACAACAATTACATACTATGTCTCTTTTCTATTTGATTGCTAAGCCCTAGTAGTTTAATGATTCCAGTTAGCCAACAAGGCTAAAGTAATACAAAGAGGACAGAAGAAAAGGAGCAAAGATGTAAAGATGAAATATAAAATATTACAATGATATTTGCTTTCTTATTTGGGGGGGGGTCTTTAGCCCCAGCTGCCCTGGAACTCACTACATAGACCAGGCTGGCCTCAAACTCACAAAAGATTTGCCTGTCTCTGCCCCTTGAGTGCTGGGATTAAAGGTGTGCACCACCACGCCCGGCTCTGCTTTGTTATATTTTATCTTAAAGTTTTTATTGCTTCTTTTTTAATTCGCCAATATCAAAATTTTATTGTTGGATAAATGCTGCCAACATTTAAACAATCCAAAACATACAAAAAAGTTACTTGAAATTCTTGTTCAGTTGCAGCTTAAGAGAAGTGACTGAATCTTCTTGATTAATCAACATGTTTTTGGTTGTATTTAGAGCATTATTGGCAACTATCCTTGCGAGTCCCTGGAGACAGTCCTAAAAACCAGCAAATATCATGCAAAATACTAACACATGAATAAAAAAATATTATTCCTTGGCCTAATTTTCTAAAAATGCTATCATATTATACTTTGTTAGTTCTGAAACACCCAGAAAGGCTAGCAATATATATCACAATGGGAAAAGGAATGTGAACAGGGGTTTCTACACTATAAAGCATTAGTACATGAGCCAATCAAAAATGCTAGAATATGATAGGCTTAAAGATATACCTTCCATACCAGAACCATCAACAAGAATTTCCAGTCAGTTGTTATTCACTTCTTTTTAAATTAATTTTTAAAGTTATTGCTATTCACACTTACCCCTTCTTTTGGGTCTGTATGGAGTCCTCCTCCCGCGTGACCATGCCAACATGTTCTCTTTTCTATCAGTGGCCATGTCTGAAGAGTCTAGTTAACAATGATACCAAACAGTATATTTATTAGCTATCTCAGAATTTTAAATGTTTAAAAATCTGCCTTAATCTAACCTAATAACTATCCCCAAAACAAAATCAAACGTAGAGCATGTAGATGGGCACAGTAAAGCGAAACATATTCAGAATCAGCATACAATTAAATTTAGACAAGGAATATTTAAATAGTCTAGCTACCTTCTGTAATCACTTTTGAAATTAAAGTTTATTATTTATTATTATTTAGCTTACATCATACTTTTATGTGAGTTATTCTAACTCTCTTACTGTCACTCATTGTAATGCTACAATCTGTTCTCTACTATAGGCAAGGAAAGATAATATAGTTAATGATTGGCAGTTCGCTTGCTCTTCTTGCAGACATATTTTATAATTAATAGTTAATTTTAAACAACTGGTCCTTTATATTATTATGTCTTACATACCTATTTAGAAGCAAGGTATTTTTAGTACTTTATCTTACGCTCTAGTCATTTGCACATATTTTTTTCTACTGCATAAATATGAATCGATACTATATACCAGCTCAGAGATAAGCTATTAAAATGAAATTATAAAAAGCAAAAGTCCCTTCTTGTTCATACCACTTGAGACGCAAAAAGTAATTGCCATAAATGTGCTAATGATTTTTAGATCAACAATCTTAAAATATTTTGTAAAAAGAAATCATCAAAAGGTGATTTTAAACCTGACAGCATCTTTCTCTGACATTTTTTTTTCATCTAAAGCTAAGCAACAAGTATTTTATCAAGGGTTCTGAAGAATAGCAAACAAGACATGAGGTCTTCAACAAAGCAAAAGACTAAATTCTAAATAAATTTAGTCGTATCCTGGACAATGAGAAGATTAAGCATATTTTCCACTTAAAGATAAATTAAATCTTTAAATAACAGAAAACTGGGGCTGGAGAGATGGCTCAGCGGTTAAGAGTGCTGTCTGCTCTTGCAGAGGACCTGGGTTTGAATCCCAGCACCCATATGGCAGCTAATAACCATCCAGAACTCTAGTTCCAGGGGATTCAATGCCCTCTTCTGACCTTCGCAGGCATCGCATGACATGTTGCACCTACACACATGCAGGCAATACGCTCATACACATAAAATAAAAAATTAATAAAATTTTTTAAAATGGAAAACCAACTCATTTGCATAGTCTTTGTATAAAGTAGAACAATGTTTTATACCTTAAAAGCAAATGATTATTAATCAGGAAGAAAAATAAAGCTCCTAGGATACAGACGGTCTTCTAATTTTCTCTTCTTTTTCTAGCATGAAAACTTACAAGTCTCATTTTAAAGCAGTGGGAAATATAAAACATAACCTTTCACTTAAATTAGCAGTGAAAAGTAATCCTCATCAATATGCAAACTCAGTATCACTTATCCCATGGGCTCTAAAAAGCTCAGAATCCCTTGGCAATCTCTTATCTGAGTATCTTTTAAGGTAAGGGAAACTCACTCACTTGGAAAACTACAACATTCCATGTAACAGATATAAATTAGGATAGATTTAAGTGTCACCAAGCTGCCACTGCATTTATAAAAAGTCTTCTGAAAATGTTACTCTAGTTGGCACTGATCTCATGATATTCAGACATTTCTACACTACTAGAGAGATACCAACATTTCTCTCTGCATTCCTCGAAGTAGAAGCATACCTTCCTGCCAGTATTTATAGAACACATGAAAAGGGAAAGTATTTGGGAAATGTAAAATATACAATAAATAGGAAGCATAAATTAGGAAATGTTCCATGGGCTTATATACTTTTCCTACTAGATATAGAAATGTTGGCTAAATCTTACCTTTGTAGCATCTAGTAACTGTCTTGAATTGTCTTTTCCCCATCTCTGCCACGTAGCATTTCTTAATGATTCTGGGTTCTATTGAAGATATTAAAAAGTGAGGACAGAGTTTCAGAGTGGACACTTATTATTTAGGGATTATTCTTTTGTTCATAAACATTTATAAAATCAAAACCATTGCCAGTGTAGAGATTGTTATGTCTTTAATACATACCTAAAAGGACAAAAAGTAGATAATAATTACATTACTCATTAAAAAAAATATCCAATTGAATTTTCTTTACATCCCCTAGCTCCTCTAGTTTTTTTTGTTTCTTTTTGTTCATCCTTTCAAAATCTTTGTTTCTTAAATTCCTCTAAAGTCTTCAAGAACACTTCTTTTTTAAATGGCTTTTACACACCAAGCAGCAACAAGCCACATTATGCTACAAGGCCAGGGTTAGTGTTAGCTGCTTGGGAGCTGCTCTGTCTCCCTAGACAGGTTACACAAGAAAAGCAAATTGCAGAAAGATGTACTTAGACATAACCAGGGGCTGGATGTACTGCAGCACAAACAGAAATAGCCAATGGAATAGATTGTGGAGACAGAGGTAGCAGTGTAGCACAGTAGCCTGAAGTGGAGATTTTCCACATTTACCCTGGAGATAACAGCCTGAAAAGATACCACCCCTGCCACTGTCTGGGCATGCTACATGGGAAAGAGAGAAGTTGCTGAACGTGGTGCCTTGACAATGGATGATGCCAGAAGCCAACCAGTAACAGGTGGGTGAGCCTTCCCACTTCTTCAGAGCCTTGGTTACAGAAAGTTCCACAAGTAAAAAGAACATGCCACAAAAGATCAGAGACAGGCTGGAAAGATGGCTCAGTGGTTAAGAACACTGGCTGTTCTTGCAGAAGACCCGGGTTCGAATCCAAGCACCCACATGGCACCTAACAACTGTTCATAACTCCAGTCCCAGGGGATCTGACAGCCTCTTCTGACCTCCACGGACATTGCACAACATGGGTGCACTTACCTACATGCAGGCAATACACGCATACACATAAAATTTTTTAAAAAAATAAATAAATTTTTAATAAAAAAAAAAAAGATCAGAGACAAAGCTTTAACCAGTACGTGAGGGGGTCTCAAGCTAGGGAATTCTGGAGGCATTGAGTATCCATACAAAAATCTTTCACTACAGGAAAGGCAAACTTGACTTAACTTGTTTGAATTACTAAGACTAGCAGTCTCCTACCCTCAACCTGCAGAGTCGGCTACAAAACACAATGCAGGAGAAAGGAGAAACCACAGCATTCCAACCAGGTGTGACATTGACTAAGGTTATATCTTCTATTTTTATTTTATCGCATTTTTAACTTTCTATCTACACTTTTGTGCTATAATTGCTTAGTTTTGTTTTAGCTTGCCTCATGGCTGAACAGGCTTTTAGGGCTGTCCTTCTTTTCCCTGCCACTTACTCCATAATATTTTCTCTGTTATTTCTCATAAACAACATACTTTCCTTTTAACTCATTAGTGACTCTTTTCCTCTTTTTCTCATTCCCTCCTCATTTCTCTAAGAGAATATTAATATCCTTAGCTCTAAAAACACTGTAACTAGGGGCTGGCAAAATGGCTCAGCAGTTATGAGCACTGGCTGCTCTTGTAGAAGACCTTGGTTCAGTTCCCAGCACCCACATAGAGGCTGACATCTTTCCATAACTCAAGTTCCAGGGGATCCAACATCCTCTTCTGACCTCTATGGTCACTGCATGACACAGGTACACTTACATACATGCAAACAATATACTAATACGTAGAAAATAAAAATAATAAATACCATAACTACATTTTTACCCAATCAGTAACCTAGTATCACTGTTTCTGACCTTTATTCAGGACACACAAGTGAAGTAAGCATACAAGTGTCTTCTATTACAAGTTAACACTGAGACTGTTGTATCTGTTACTAGATCAGCTTTGCCATTAAAGAGCATAAATCCAAGTGAAAAGAAAGTACCAGGAGAGGAGGAAAGGGAAAAAATGAGGTCACAACCATCACAAGAGATGTGCAAAACACATGAGAAACACACATAAAAATTAGAAAACAAGTCACTATGACAAGCTCACAAGTCCTTAATATCAGAAACCGAAGATGAGGAACTGCACTACCAGAAAGAGATTTCCAAGTCATACATTTAAAAAGGATCAATGGCAACACAGAGAACTCAAACAGATAAATGAAGTATGGAAATTAATTCGGGTCCTAGATGAAAAAGTTAGCAAAGTGGGCAAAGTGGATGAAATAGTCAGCAATTTGGAGAAAAAAATTTAAAACATGGAGGAGAAATTCAGCAAGAAAACAGAAACTCTGGAAAAGAAGTCAAGAGAAATGCTGGAAATAAAGGTCAGTCAATCAAATAAAAAACACAGTGGCAAGCATCACCAATACACTTAGCCAAGCAAAACAAAATTTCAGAGACGAGGATAAGGTTGAGACAACTATATAGTCACACATATATAAAAATATAAGTAAGACCAAAATTTCCAGGAACTCTTGGATAAGTTCAAGAGACCAAATCTCAGGGATGGAGAGGTGATTCAGTGGTTACGAGCACTGGCTGCTCTTCAAGAAGACTCAAGTTCAGTTCCACCACCCACATGGCAGCCAACAACCATCTGTAACTCCAGTTCCAGGATATCTGACATCTGCTTCTGGTCTCTGCAAGAACTGCCAAACACATGGGTACACTTAAATACATGCAGCCAAAACACTCGTACATATAAAAAATAAAATAAAAATATTTAAGGAGACCAAATCTAAGAATCTATGGGGTAGAATAAGAATCAAAGATAAAGACTGAGGGCAGAAACTATTTAATGAAATTACAGCAGAAAATTTCCAAAACCTATAAAAATAAATGGACATCCAAACACAAAGAGGCACTTACAACCCCAAATAAGCATACCCTGAAAAGAAACTTTCTACAGCATATTTTTGGTCAATATGCCAAGAATGCAAAGCAAAGAATCAATATTAAAAGCTATAAGGGGAAAAAGTTAACTTACCTACAAAGGCAAAAACATGAGTAACATCAAACCTCTCATTAGCAAACCTAAAAGCCAGAGAAGCATGGCATGATATATTTCAGATCTTGAAAGTAAATAACTGCCAAGAAAGATTGTGTGCTCTGCAGTTATTTTTTTAAATAGATGAAAAATGAAGACTATTTCAAGGAAAGCAAAACATTGGGCAATTTATGACAAAAAGCCAGCACTGTAGAAAATATTTAATAGAAGTACTATACCAAGAGGAACAAGAAAGATAATCTTATCCATGAGAACAGGAAAAAAACCCATTTCACAAGAATAAAAGAACAAAGGAGAGCTGAAAAGTAATCCAACAAACCAGCAAACTCCCAATATTAACAGGGGATGAAGAAAAAAAAAACTACCAATAATGCAACCAAATGGATCAATGGCCAAAACCGTAGAAGATATCAAATCCTTCTCCATAACAGCCGTAAATGCATATGGCCTCAATTCATCATTTAAAAGATGCAGAGTATGTGACTGGATGGATTAAAAAAAAGGATATATCTACTTGTTGTCTATAAGACACATAGCTTATTGATAAGAACACTCACAAACTAACAAAGGATGGAAATTAACCTATTAAGCAAATGGAAGCCAAAACAAAAACAAAAACAAAAACCAAGCTGGCAGAGCTATTCTGCTATCTGATAAAGGAGACTTCAATTCAAAAACCGCATCTATACACTGATAAAGAGAACCATTCATCAACACTATAGAACTACTGCAAATATCTTTTTATATGAACCGTGTGCATGGTGGTGCCTGCAGAGGTAAGAAGCGGGCATTAGATTACTGGAACTGGAGTTATAGAGGTTGTGAGCGACCATGTGAGTGCTGGGAACTAAACCCAGGTCCTCTGTGAGAACATTAAATACTCTTAAATAATTGGAAAAGAAGAGTTCAAATTATCCCTTTTTGCAGATGATATGATATTATATCAAAGGGATGCCAAAAATTCCACGTGCAAACTCCTATAAATTATTAACAAATTCAGTAAAGTGGCAGGTTACAAAATTAACCTACAAAAGTCTATAGCCTTTCTATATACCAATGACAAGCAGTCAGAGAAAGAGCACAGGGAAACCCTCCCATTCACA